CAACTTGTTGACGGTTTCTTGGCAGACTTGCTACAACTTTGTCATACCTTTTCATGTTTGTACTTAAAATGGTCTTCCTAAAACAAATGTTTCTATACAAATATTCGCAGCAGTAGGTTAGAATTACTATAAAAGACACAGTTATAAGTGGTAAATAAAATTCCAAACACCCAAAGAGAAAGTCTCAAGCAGTTCGTGATATTGACAAGGTTGAAATATTCCGTGGGAACTGTACCTATTTAAAATTGTCACACAGTGTAAGACAATAATTTTGTTACTTTTATAATCAATTCCTGTACATAATTCATAACGAATAATTCTAAGGTTACTGCCAGTACAGAACAATAGCTTGGTTTCACTATAAGCACTGTCGTACAATTATCACAGCGAGAGGATTATATTATGTCATTATACTGAAGAGATTTAGTCGCATTTCTTGAATTTTTGAAGATGACGTCGTGACATAATGACTTTTTCAATTGTACACCGTTTGGCTGGCACATCAATTTTCATTATACACAAGTCTGGAACAAGTTGTTATCACCTTGTTACAAGGTTGATGACGGTAACAGACTTGCTACAAGTTGTTCCAACAAGACTAATACAGGCTGTTCGTAACAAGTTGCTACGAGCTTGTTGTCATCAACTTGTTAACAACTTATTACGTGCAGACGATATCAGACTTGTTGGAACAACTTTTGTTGCGAGTCTGTTGGCCTCATCAACCTTGTTACAAGCAGTGCGAACACATCTTGTTGACAAGCTGACATGATTTCAATGGTCCATTGGGTGGACCAGACGTTATTTTAAAACAGTCATTACATCGCTTCTATACTAGACTAATTTTAATAATCGTAGTGTCAGAATTCATCCCTTAGTTTAAATTCTTGATGATCACTAATAGTTAGTGAAACACAGTTATTGCATTGTTTAGGGACAAGAGCAACAAAGTACCTTGTTTTCCTGGATTTTATTCTTCAAGTCCTCCAAACTGGCGATAGACACAAAAGATACCATGACATTTCCTTCATTCTGCGAGATCCATTGTTCGCTTTCGTTGACGACATTATGAAGTAATTGCGTGAACGCCTCGAACAAACTAGAAATATTTGTAATATCATGATTTTTTGTATGTATTCATGATAGTGGGTTCATGAAGTTCATGACTAAATCCATGTTTGATCAATACATGTAAGCCAGATACAGCTTTCGTCCTTTAAAAATCGTATGTTTTGTCATATGTGTTAAAGATTACCACAGACTGATACAAACACAGTTTTTAATCCAGCCCCTCTCGACAATCTGGCGTCCTTGTTGACAACAATGTCCCTTGCTTGTTTAAGCTCGCTATAAACTTCACTACTTACCTCTTATGATTCCTGAGGACAACAGCAGGAAGCCGCCCAACTCTCTTGGACAGATCACGACACTTGGTTTCAATATCAGCACTCACGTCTACTGGAAGGACTCCAGACTGCGCGATTTCTTGAGGACGTTTCAAAGACTGCATTGTCTGCGTGTACATATTGTTCACATCGGTTACGTTTTCCTAAAAATTCAAAAAGATTGTTCATAACTATTTTTTTTAAGTATATATTTACTTCACATTTACAGTGGACCTCTAGGAAGAACAGTTTAGAACTGATAGAGCTATCCAGTATAAATAAAGTTAGTTTAGTTTAGTTCCTCTTGTAGTAACACTGGATCAATAGGAGATGATCCTTACTGAACCTCTAGGGAGAACAGTTTAGAACTGATAGAGCTATCCAGTATAAATAAAGTTAGTTTAGTTTAGGTTTCCTCTTGTAGTAACACTGGATCAATAGGAGTCATCCTTACTGAACCTCTAGGGAGAACAGTTTAGAAATGATAGAAATAACCAGTATAAATGAAGTTAGTTTAGTTTAGGTTTCCTCTTGTAGTAACACTGGATCAATAGGAGTCATCCTTACTGAACCTCTAGGGAGAACAGTTTAGAACTGATAGAGCTATCCAGTATAAATAAAGTTAGTTTAGTTTAGGTTTCCTCTTGTAGTAACACTGGATCAATAAGAGATGATCCTTACTGGACCTCTAGGGAGAACAGTTTACAACTGATAGAGCTATCCAGTATAAATAAAGTTAGTTTAGTTTAGGTTTCCTCTTGTAGTAACACTGGATCAATAAGAGATGATCCTTACTGGACCTCTAGGAAGAACAGTTTAGAACTGATAGAGCTATCCAGTATAAATAAAGTTAGTTTAGTTTAGGTTTCCTCCTGTAGTAACACTGGATCAATAAGAGATGATCCTTACTGAACCTCTAAGAAGAACATTTTAGAACTGATAGAGCTATCTAGTATAAATAAAGTTAGTTTAGTTTAGGTTTCCTCCTGTAGTAACACTGGATCAATAAGAAATGATCCTTACTGGACCTCTAGGAAGAACAGTTTAGAACTGATAGAGCTATCCAGTATAAATAAAGTTAGTTTAGTTTAGGTTTCCTCCTGTAGTAACACTGGATCAATAAGAGATATCCTTACTGGACCTCTAGGAAGAACAGTTTAGAACTGATAGAGCTATTATACAAATTCACGCGGCAATGCAGTTAATCTATAAATACCATTGATTGTTGAATCTGGCCAGTGGCTTGCTCCAGCTCATCGGAAAGAGTGCTTGGTTTGTCCCAGGCTTCTGCATCAGAAATGGACTTCTCAGCCACGCCAAGAGTTTCATCCAGACCCTCTTTTACTTTCGTTTGTAATCTTGAAACAAAAAATAACAATGGTTCTGAGTCATGGCTACCGACGTCTTGACATTGGGCTTTCGGTCAAAACATCGAAATGTCTTTGTCAGGTATTTCAGAGACAAACCACGACAGCTTATTCTAGAATACTACCTACACTGGACCACCGCATTTGAGATATCTTTTTCAGGTAGTTCAGACACAAACCACGACAGTTTATTGTAGAATACTACCTACACTGGACCACCACGTTTGAGATATCTTTTTCAGGTAGTTCAGACACAAACCACGACAGTTTATT